AAGACATGAAAAGCTCTAATTTGACATAATACGTATGTATTTCTAATAAATAAAAAGACTACCCCTGGTATCACTCAGGTTTATTTTCCAAAAGATGCATACTTAAGAGGATTACTTTTTTTTGTACTATAGTTACACAATTGAAACAAAAAATAACGCCCAGCAATCGATCAGATATTTTGTATATATGTACAAGTTTTAATTCTTGTCCCTTGATTTTGCATTTGAAGAAAGCATCAGGAGCAATTTTTGAGTCTCCTAGAACATGGCAGCTTTCTGAAAAGCTGCGTGTTTTGTATTTTCTAATTAAGATTGAAATCAGACATGTAATCCACCTGTCACCAAGGAACTGAGACTTGAAAAATCAGGGGGGTGTTGGGTTTTTTAATTGTCCTCCTATGTCATTCTGTGTGGCTACACTTCATCTAGACTGATAGACAACTCAAACCAAAAGGGATCACAGTTTTCAAATAGATACTGAAAAACATTATTGGTTCAGTTTGAGAGAACTGAGTTTAAAGTTAAAACACTCAAATTTGAGACTTCAGCTGTTGACAGAAGTGCATCTTGGCTCAACAAAAAGCAGGAATGCACAACACTAACTACAGTCTTGGAAAATTCCTGATGTTCTTTGCCCCTTTGGAAGGCACTACAAAAAAAAAGAAAGAAAGGGCCTACAGCAATGTCCTAAGGAACATTCTAAGTTTGCCTTATTATTGTTGCAGTTAGCTACTTAGTTTTCCTTCTGACACTACAGACAGAAAGGGCGCCTTTGGGGTCTAATCTGGTGTTTCTCAAAACTCCCACTGAAGTCCACAAAAGTGTGGCATACCTGCAGACTTAGCATCAGGCCCCCAGTTGCTTCTTCATTACTCAGTGAAATCTTACCTGAAGATTTAATTATATTACTGGAACAGGTATGTACTACACTATTTTTATTTTTTCTAATCTGCAAAATGTCAGGAATTTGCACAGACCATTCTTTGAGGAGAAATATTAAAGAAATGTTAAATTGTCTGGATATCCAAAAGTACAAAATAAAGTATCTCCTCATGTGAGAGCTGAAAGTTTTAATATTCAGACTAATCTTTCTCTTCTACAGCTAAGATGTTGGATTTCTAATCTGTCAAGAGTCTTTTTTTATAAAAGGCATGTACGTATATTTCTGTCTGTTTTAATGATATTTTAGGAATTATGATCTGTATGTTATTACCTCTGAGCTACAAAAACATATGAACAAATATCGAAAAGACTGTTCCCACAAAAGCCAGTGGAAGGACAGCCATAAATTTCTGTGGGAGAATTACTGGGCTTCAAAACAGGTTTGTACTAAAGGAATAATTGTATCACACCAGGTGAGGCCAGCTACAAAAGAAGTGTAATTTAAGTAAAAAATCTTATAATATGCTCAAAAAAAGTTTAAAATCTCCAAATTTTATGAGCATCATGTTTTTCAAATTTGAATACCTTGAAATATGAAAAAAAAAGATCTGCAAACAATCTCATCAGACATGTTAGGCTGAATACAGAATTCAGGATAGTGCCTGGTATGTTTAGTTGAACAATAATAAATTGTCTGTGCTGGGAAACCGAACTTGAACTGCAGCTGCAAAGGTTTTTTTTTTTCTCTTTTCTTATCTTTTTTCCCCCCTAACTAATCTGGTTCAGTCAGGGCATAGCTGTAATTACCTTCTTCCCATCTACAGCTAATACCTCAGAGCAATAAAAAAAAACGAGGGTGTTAAAAATTCAAACACTAATTATGGGCTGTTATATTTACTAAACACAGCAGAGTAATAACAAAAGTTTCAGCTCCTTGTGGCCAGCACTACTCTGTTTGATCTACCAAGTCCCTGGACCCTTTACACTAACTATATTACATAACAGTTAATAGCGCACTAAAATAAAATTTAATAAACACATTTATTACCAAACATGTACAGCACAACAACTTTCAGCTGTTTCCTTTTTTTCAGCACAGGTGTATCTCTGAAGAGTTCATTCCTTTGTTGTTTTTGGGTTTGGTTTCCAGTTAAGTTATATAAATAGCAGTGCAGTAGATTTTGAAAGGGGAAGCATGCAATATTTGAGTACCCCATTTAAAGTGTAATGGTAAATATTGGCTAATCCTGCAATTCTTTTGGTTACTTTCCTTCATGCCAGTTTTAAGGTCTAGAAAAACAATAAAGCTGAGAGTTGCCTTAGTTCCTAATTCAGCTCTGCCACTACTATCTCCCCTCACATTCACATTAAACACACACAGGGTAGCTTTACACCACTTAATAACAATAGAGGGGTATGGATTTTTGGGGTGTCAAACAGCTGTCACAAACTGTCACCTCCACAAGAGAAACCTTGGCACACAACAAATTAACCTACACTTCTTTTGGGCTATCATTATTCATAGCCAATCAGTTGAAATGCTCCTAGTATTTCATGTGCAAATAAAACCATGAGGGGAAGACCCGCAGATCAGAATAGTGGGCCAATACATAAAACAGAGGAAACAACATGCTGTCTCTGTCCTTCTGAAGTGGCTCATCATCACCCCTACACCAACTTTCACCAAATGAGATCTAGCCTAAGGCTATATATTAAATATGCATATCAAGGCAAATGAAAAAAAAATAAACCTGGAGAGCCAAATTGGACAAATTTGCATGCTTGAACTGCTACATTTTCAGGTAGATGCTCAGAAATGATAGCTCATTTTTTAATAGACTTGCATGTTTATATTAGCCATTTTTTTAAAGCTTTTCCTTTTCTGTGAATAAAGATGCATTTCTTTCTGCTGGAACATTGTGCAGTGCAAATATAAAACACGGTAGTTTGACTAAGCTATAAAAAGGTGTTAAAGTTTTGTCAGGAAAACAAGCTAATATACAAAGAAAAAAAAATCCAATAAGGAGACACATTTCCCAAAACGCATGAATAAAATGTAACTATGTGATACAACTCTTCATTTCCCAGTTGGTGTTCTGGTTGCACAAATTATTGCTTCCTTTCAAAACAAATAGCAGGGGGCTAAAGTAAAAATGTTATAGCTCAAATCTCCAGGAAGTAAAAGGCTTTAAATTATAATACCCAATGAAGTGGTAAACCCTAACGGGTGCAAGACAAATGGGTTGTCATATTTATTTGAGTTTGTTTTTGGGGCCACAAAAGCAAGAGGAGATTCTTCTTAAGGAAGATAATAGTTACCAAATTATCAAAATGCTAACCCCCTCCACTCCTGTCCTATCATTGTGTGTGAATTTAAATATTATAATGGAGCACTGCAAATTGGCTTGAGCATTTGCCATCTGCCAGAACCCTAAACAGGCTAGTTTATCTAATCTCTTCAATATAAACATAAGCATGCTCCATTTCTACACTTCCACTTGAAACACACTCTTGTAAAGAAACTGTACTGGAGAAACATGTATTTTTTTTTTCCGTTTCTCTAAATTTTACACAGTGACTCACTATCTTTCAGGTTGCCACTCATTTCAATTTCTTTTCTAGTACTCTCCCAGAATACTTATGCCCACGAATTTAAGGTTGTAAAATGCCATGAAACAAATATTTTTGAAATTGTGTCATGCCTCATGGAGTTTATTACCTACGTCTGAGTTAGCTGATAAGCAGATAAACTTTAAGGAAGACCTGCGTACTTTTTTTTCTCTCAAAATAATAGATTTAAAACAGAAACCAGCACAAACCTTGTCATGCAATGTTTACTGAATACAAATGAGAAAATGAAAGCTAAGGCTTGGGTCCAAAAATATTTCCCATAACTAAGCCACGCCAGAAGGGGGACATTCAGAAGAATTTATTATTATTTTATTTCCCAATTCAGCTTCAGTCCAGGTCTAATGTAATTACCAAATACACACAAAAACAACATGTTTTCAAAGGAAACAAAAGCTCCTAGAAAGCTCATTCTCCCTGGGCTTCCAGCTACTCTTAACACACTGGGAAATAAAGGCAGGCGCCTGTGCAGAAAGCATGGTTAACTTCACACCGGGTGTTAAATTAATATTTCAACCGCTAAAATATTAGACTCTATCATTTAGATTATTAGTTCAATTGAATCTAAAACTGTATAAACCCCTTTGCCCCCCAGGGATGCGTTCCTATAAATAAAGTGGAATTCACACCCACCCTTTTTAACCAGAGCTATTCCTTTCCTTTTCTGCTGTACCAGCTGCAATCTTTCCCTCCACATCCCCAAGTCTCTCTGCATCTACATCTTTTGAAGGATCAGAGGAGCCACTCCAAAACTCAGAAAAAACAAAGGCACTCTCCTTTCATGCACACCAATGTTCAGTACTACACACATTACACTAATTCACCAACTCCTAAAGTGTTAAAATCAACTGCTAACCTACGGTTACTCAATCATCATTCTCTCCAACTTTCTGTAATACATTGTTAATAATTGCTTCATCAAGGTTACTGTCTTTTATTATGAAGATGCTTCAGGCGTTTGGCAATAAGTCCATATTCTGACAATAAGTTGCTATAAAGCAAAAGCATTGGAAACTCTAATGTGCTAACCCCTTTTTTTAATGTAGTGTAGTATTGCCAATAATTCTCATCACTTGTCATCTCTATGAGAGGGGAGGGGGAAGCAAATCAGCAAACTTTCTTCCTAACTTTCTTGTCTGTGTTTCCTTACATTGATGCATTGATTACAAAGTTGGCAAAGAACAGGAGAAAGCACTGATCCCCACATCAAACCAACAGTTTGCTAGCTCTCCAAGCCGCCCAGACTAGGAAACTTTACAAACCATTGCAAACTCGATGCTTTACAGATGAAAACTGAAGGAGTCTTTTGCATTTCTACAACTTTGCAAAGCGGAAGGGAAGAAAGTTTGAAGATGGGATTCAAGCTTGCAGGAGGTTAAGGTAGTAGCAAAACTAACAGACAACAGCAGCAAAGCAAGGAAATCCAGAAAAGATCTTCTAAGCAGGTTAAAAACTTTAAAAAATGTCATAAAGAAAACAGAAGGACTTACATGATCGGCTAAATTTGTGGAAGATCCTGAGAGTTCTTCATGGTCTGATTTGGAGCTGCCATCCCTTTCATCAATAACGAGGTCTATTGGCATTTTTCCTTTCAAACAACTAATGTACCGATGGCAGAAATTATCACACAATTCATGAACCTGAAAAGAATAACAAGAATAATAGAATCAATAATGGCTAAATATCGTGTTTCGGCGCTTTTGTTTTTTTTTTTTTTGGTAACAAGTTCAACCCTCTGATCTACTCCACAAGTAACTCTAAGTAACTCTAATTAAGGGGGACAATAGTTGAAGGCAAGGAAACAATAGAGAAATTGTTGCAGCACATATTATTCTCTTGAGACTTGCTGCAGCAACAAGTTAGAGAGAGAGATAGTGGGCTCGGATTTGAGTGCTGAAGAAAATCGGATTTGGTGATAACATCGGAACACTGGGAGCTGGACCCAGGTGGTATCTCCGGAGCATGCACAACCCAGACAGGTACAACTAGTCACTCGGGACGGGATCAGTTTAAACCGGGGCTAAAAAAAGGTCTAAATGGCCGGGAGCAGTAAAATGAAGCTACTTGCTGAGGTTGTGGGAAGAGCCATTCTTGTCCCAGGGCACAGCCCCTGCCCACGCCTGCAGGGGCCCCTGCCTCTTCCAAACATTTAGTCCTTGCTTGGGGTTAATGTGCCTGCCAGAGCCGGAGAGGAGAACGAATGGTTTCATTTCTGTTTGTTAAATATAATATTTCTGAGAGGGAAAAAGAGCTTCTACTGAGGAAAGGAGTAAGAAGGATTAAAGGGGTTTAATATTTAATATTAGTAAATATTGAAATTACACACACACACACAAAAAGGGGAAAAAACGGTCTGGGCATGTCTGTCGGGTGTCACATGCTCTGATGGCACAGGTTACGGTGTCACAATGCATTACCCCTATCTTCTCTGGCCGTGTTTACAAGTCAGCCCAAACAGTCGGGAGGAAGGGAGCTGGGGGGGCAGAGGGCGAGGGGAGAGGGGGCAGGGAATGGCGTGCCCCCCGCCCACCTCCTTGGCTCTTACCTTTTCTAATTCCAAAAGATGAAACCTTAGTACTTGTATTGCTTGGATCATCTGCAAGAAAGTTTTGAGCAGGGGGTTACGTGGGAGACAGGAGCACAGGGGCTGGGCAGAGCCGCGAGCCCGAGTGGGAAAGGGGGAGAAGGGGATTGTCAGGGCGCGCGGTCATTATACAGGATTTTAGCTCATTGGTCACGCTTTAACAATTTTGATCAACTTTAACCTAAACACTTGATTTTTATCATATTTATTCCAGGAGCGGTGATTAGCGCTTTATTACCGCGATCTTGGAGAAAACCTCTTCCCTCTCCTCGTTCCCCTCTCAGCACCCCGGCCCTCATCCCTGAGGGTTCGCAGAGAAGTCAAACACACGCTCCCACCCCCATCCCCGCCCGCAGGAGAAAGGGGGGTGAATGTGTGTTTGAATAGTTTGGCATCTTCTTTACAAGCGGATTTAGGCACTTTGAATATTGAAATCGTTCACATTAGCAAAAGAATTACATTAGAAATCTCCAGCTCTCTCCTCTTAAGCAGTTACTTCCTTCACTTTTAGCTTCCCGTGGCTTTCAAACTCAGCTTTGCAATGCATTGGGGCTTGAGACTTTGCTCTGACTGGCTCTAAGAATAAAGCTCTTTGAAGCCCCTTGACGGCAACTTGCCGACCGGCGGGCGCCCCGCTCCCACGCCGGCGCACCCGGTGCCCGGCCCGGCAGCCGCTGCCCGGCCGCGCCGCTCGGCCCGCTCCGGGGCGGAGGAGGGAGCCTGCCAGCAGCGGGCGGAGGGGTCGGGAAGGGCGAGAGGGAGTGCAGTGGAAGAGGGAGCAGGCCTTACCAAATTGTCCAACTCTGGATTTGACGAAAAAAGTGGCTTTTCGGCGCGGACCTGCAAGAAGAAGGAAAAGCGGCGTGAACTACAGCTGCTGTCTTTACTCCCGTAACTGGATCGCCCGAAAGGGGAAAGTGCCTTTGACAAAACCGGCCGGTACCAAAATCCGGCTGAACGCTCCGGGTCACCGGGCTGCGGAGAGAAGCCCGCTCCGCTCCTGCCGGTCCGGCACTGAGCCGACAGCCGCTCCCTCAGGAGCCTTCTCCTGCGGGTCCCTTGCCTGCTTCCCCTCCCGCTCCCTCTGCCTCCAAAACTCGGCCACAGCTACCTTTCCCTATCACCAGGGCAGGAGGGCAAGGCCCGGCAGTCCCAGCCCGGCCGCGTGGAGGGGCTGCCGGCAGGGGGGGAGGTCAGGGCCGGCCGGGCCACCAGGGCGCACCCCCGCCCGCCGGAGAGGGGCGCGGGGGGAAAGGGGGGCTGCCCCTGCCAGCGCCCGGCCGTGCGGGGCGAGGCGCTGAGGAGGCGGCGGGAGCGCTGGTGAGGGTCGGGGGCGGGGGGAGAGGTGCCGGACCTGTTTAGCGAAGACGGCGATGTCCTCGTTGAAGGAGTCGGAGGAGCAGACGTCCCCGCCGGCCACGCCGGGCTCCCGGGGCGTGCAGGTCGCCAGCTCGCACTTCTCAAAGACCAGAGCTAAGAGGGGGAACAACGGGTGCCTACCGGGCGGTGGCACACAAAGAGAGGGGAGGGGGTGGGGGAGAGGGGGAAAGAAGAGCTGTAATCAACAAGTATTTTTTTTCTTTAATGCACGGACATACGGACACGGACACACGGACACAGCCACACTCTTCAGTCTCGCACTAATGCCCCGGGCAGAGCAGTGGAGAACCAGACTTTGAAATAAAAATACTGGTTTTGGTGGTGAGCTGGCTGTTGTTGCTTTGTTTGTTTGGGTTTGGTTTTTTTTTTTAAATTTTGAAATTGCAATGCCCGAGCCACATTCCCCGTGCAGTCCTCACCGACGAGGACAAAAGTGACCTCTCTAAACGCACAAGGCACCGAACGTGCTCAGCAGCAGCTCAGCTGAGAATGTTACACTTTTGCCACATCTTAAAATACCGCAAAACCTGGAAGATCCTATCCCTACCCTCCAGCTATGACCTAAAACGAGAGTACAGCTAGGCAAACTGCAAACTACTTAATACGTAATTTTATTTTTCAAGGGGCCTGCTAACAAAAATGTGGTGAAGTTTCCTGGCTTAGGAAGCACACCCAAGTAAAATACCATCTGTCCAGATAAGTGAGCTGGGGAGGGGGTGGAGGAAGGGAGCACTTCGCGAAATATTTTCCCATAGTTGGTGTAGTCAGAAAAAAAAAATTATCTGCGTGCTAAGTAGTAAGCATGCATTTGTTTCTTTTCCCCTTTGGTGTCTGATCAAGACCCCACACTCTGTCATAGATGTTACTAGCTCTCCTTTTAGGTTCAGTTAGTATTTTTTCCAAAGGGCACTGAAGGGAATCGGTGTCATTCCCTCCAAGCAAAGCCCTGGTGCAGGCTTGAGAAACCCTTGGGTATGGGTTTCTTTTTCCCCTCTTTCTTTCTTTCTAAAATAGAAAATTTAGCTCATTGCCCCCAATGTATTTATGTCTTCTGTCACTGGGAAGAGCTGTTTGCAAGAAGTGAATCCCTTTTATTTTTACTACCTTCCGCGATGTGAATAGCTCTTTATTTACAAAGTTGGAAGAGTGGTATTATGGCACAGAGAACACCAGAACAACACTTCTCCAACTAAAATCCAGAGCAATAAGAGTCTCTAACTCCTAAGTGGGGCCTTTCCAAGAAATTTAAAAAAACCCCAGGCGTAAGAAAAGAACTCCCCCCCAAAAAACACAAAAGAGGAAAAAACCGAATAAATTAAAAAAGAAAAATGGAAGGACAAGGCAACACCACCTCTCTCCAACCCAGCCTCTGTCCCCAAGAGGTCTGTTTTCCAGCACCCATTTCCCGTGGGTGCTGGCACCTCAGCCGAGTCAGGCTGGGATCGCCCTCGTCCCGAAATCGCCCTTGTCCCGAGATCGCGGGCCACGGCAGTGCCACCGCGCGGGTCTCCCTCCCGAGCGGGCTGCCGGGGGCTGCCCTGCCGCCGCCTTCTCTCCGGACTCTCCGGGCTCCCCCCGCCCCACTCCGCTCCGGGGCCCGGCTGGCCGCTGCCGCCGCGGCCCCGCGGGAGCTCCCGCTGCCCGCCCCGCTCCCGCTCCCGCTCCCGCTCCTGCCCCGGCCGCTCCGCGGGCATCCGCGCTGCGGGGCCGGGCCCTGGCGCCGGGCGGCCCGGCGGCACCTACCCGTAGATCGCATCCTTGTCCCGTTTCAGGGCGTCGTTGACAGCGGAGCCCATGCTGGCCGGCATGACATTGGGGTGCGGGGCGTGGGCGCCGTAGTGCTGTCCGGCGTGGAGCGGCGGCCCATGGTTGAGGTGGTGCACCGGGGGGATCGGCCGGGGGGCGTGGGGGTCCCCGTACATGGACGCCGGCACCCCTACTCCGTCCATCCCGCCGTAGTGGGGCAGCTCATCGTACTGTCAAAAAGCGGGCCGGAAGAGAAGAAAGAAAAAGAAAGAGGAGAAGAGAGGGGGGAATAAAAAAACAAACAAACAACAACAACAAAAGTCAGAAGAGAGTAAAGCACCCGGACAGACACAAACAGAGCAAAACAAAACAAGAACAGCCACAACAGAGAGAGAAATGCTCAAAATGAAATCAACTGGGACCGGGAGCAGGGGCTGGAGGGGCTGAAGGAGGAGTGGGGGTGCGAGAAGAGGTAAAAGGAGAAAGTGTGTTTGCCTGTCTGAGTGTGCGGGGGAAGATGGTCCTCTTCAGCACAGGCAGGAGAAACCCTAACAAGGAAACAGGGATGAAAAGGAAGGAAACGGAGGAGAGAAACTAGAGTTACTCTGCATTAGAAAAGAAGAAAAAAAAATAAACAAGCAGAATCAAAACCAACTAAATAAATAAATCAACACTAGGAAGGAGAGAGGAAAGGTAAGGTGTATCGGGAGGAGGGAGGTAGATAAAGGGGGAAATAATCTGAAAGTTACCAGAAACATTATTTAGTGGCAATTCCCCTTGTCCTTGTCACAGCCAGAGACACAAAAAAAAAAAAAAAAAAAAAAAAAAAAAAAAAGCAGCTATATGTGTATACATATATATACATTCGTATATACACAGACACACATATGTATTTCTTAGCCTTTGCTATGCAGCAGCAGTAGCGGCGGCGGCAGCAGCAGCAGCAGCAGCAAGCTTTCCCCTGTGAAACCCGTGCTACTGAGCAGGCAGAGAGCAGGGAATTCGCGCTGCTGGGGAAAAAGCTAGAGAGGAAAAAAGCGTGGAACAATTGCAGAGAGACACACACAGAGAGACACTCATGCACACACACAAAAAGCCAGCGAATAATTTTTGCTGCTATTTTTTAATAGTGGCCGCCATCATCATCAGCAACAGAGGAGAGCAAATCGGACAGGCCCCTCTTAAGAGAGGATTTATATATAGGTAAGTGTTGGAGATTTAAACCTACCCTTTGCGCCATCAGTCTGCGCTCCAATAAACTCCTGGATGTGTCGTATATTTAATATCCCAGTCCAGCAAAGAAAGTGATTTAGAGTGAAGAAGATTCCTTTTTTTTTGCAACCCACTTATAGACTTCTCCTATCCTCCAATATGGGTAAATAATAGTAATAACAACAACAATAACAACAACAATATATAAAAAACAGTCAAGAACCACGATGAGTTTCTGTTTTCTTCTTTTTTTCTGTCTCTTTCTCTTTCCTTTTTCTGTCTCTCTTTTTCTTTTTTTCTTTCTCTACGCAAAAAAAAAAAAAAAAAAAAAAAAAAAAAAAAAAAAAAAAATTTGTCAAGCCCCCAAACTGAAGGTTACGATCGGCCCGTCAGCAACCCACATGTAACCAAACTGTCGTGTCTCATGGCTTTTTGCCACTCCAGCTGTCAATCAAAGCCAGGGAATGTCAAGGTAGTGAATGAATGATGGTTGATGATGATGAAGAAGAGAGGAGGAATCTTTTTAACCCCGGTTTCTTCTTCCAGTAACTCCGTGCTCGGGTTTTGCCTTTTAGGATCGCTTATAGGGTTGTTGGTTTTGGTTTTGTTTTGTTTTTTTCAAAGTACTTGTGAAGGGGGGTGGGGAAAGATGCGAAGAAAAATTGAATAGTTTTCAAAGCCCGGACTTCCCCCTCTCTCCTTTTTTTTTTTTTTTTTCCTCCCGGCAGGTATTTTGTCTCCCTCTCTCCCTCACTCCCTGGGATGAGTGAGTGTCAGTAAGTGTTGGCAGGTTGGCTGCCGGCTGCCTTATAGAAGAGGCTCAGTTTTGCGGCGCTGATCGGCGGGAGAATGAAGTGACGGAACCCGGAAGTAGTGGTGGCCATAGCCAGTCCTGCAGCGCGGCGGCGGCGGCGGCGGGGAGCGGCGGCGGGGAGCGGCGGCGGCGGGGAGCGGCGGGGCGCGGCGGCGGGCGCGGGCGCGGGGCGGCGGGGCGCCCCAGCCGGCGGAGCGCCGGGGATGCGCAGCGCGGCGGCGGGGCGGCCGCGGCGCCGCGCGGGGGGAGCCGCGCAGCAGCCCCTGCCCCGAGCGAAGCACGGCGTGTAGGAAGGAGCGAGCGAGCGAGCGTGCGAGCGAGAGGGAGGGAGGGAGGGAGCGAGGGAGGGAGGAGGGAGGGAGGGAGCGAGGGAGGGAGCGAGGGAGGGAGGCAGGGGAGGAAGGACAGGGAGAGTGCGTGTGTGCGAGAGGGGGGAGAGGCAGGGGAAACTGCAGAGAGCGAGAAGAAAAGTGCGGTAGAAGCCCGGCCCCGGGTCGGTTTGCGCTAGATTATTTGAGCAACCAAATACCTTCCGATTACCCGCGGCGTGGGGCGTCTGGCGGCGCGCGGGGCCGCTGGCTCGGGTCGGCGGCTCCGGCCGCTGCCGCGCGCGGTGCGCGAGCCCCGGGCACCGGGAGCTACAGCGCGCGGGGGGGGCGCGCGGAGCCGGTGCGGCCCCGGGCGCGGGGAGGCTGCTCCGGGCCCGCGCGCCCGGCCCCGCCGGCGCGCCGCAACGCCGGCCGCGCCGCTGCCCCCGGAGCGCTCATTGTGCTCCGCTAAAAATTAATGAATTTTCCGGGGCATGGAGAGAGCGCCTCGTGCAAACCGCGTTGGGCACCGCTCTTCATTAAGTGATCGCTGTATCAAACACGCTCTGGATGTCTTGAAGGGGAGGGGGGGCGGGGAGAGGCGGAGGGAAGAGGGGGAAATCCCTTTTAGTTTTGCGATTAGGCTGCCAGGCTTTGTAAAGGGCTTAAAAACAAAGTCTTGCTCAGTCTTTTGTAGGAGAGATCCAGATGTTATGTAGATTTCTGTTTGCGTGTTCGTTTTGAGCGGATCCGGCGGCGAGCGCAGTATTTACGTGTGTGTGTTGCTGGACTTTACCGTTTATCGACGTTGCGCTTGTGGAATGTATGCTGGAGTATTAGCTCGGTAATACCTTCTAATGGTAGTGCTAATTACAGTGGGGTTATTTAGCAAATTAAGTGAGATGATGCATCCCCCCCCCCCACCGCTGAGTACCGAATGAACTTTTCCGAACACACAGGCACACACACACACACGCGCGCGCGCGTTAATTTTGGTGCGTTTCTCTCGCCCAATCACTTCGCTGAAGCTACACCATGCCTTACCTCAGAGCAGTCAATTACCAAAGCTACCCGGGATCATCAATCATGGGGGATGCTTGAAGTTTAGGGGAGGAGCGATGGTCAAACTATCGATTGCTGCAGTTTTGTCCTCCCCAACCCCCCACCCTCGTTCACGGTCCCCTGCACATAAAATCTAAAACAGACTATCCCGTTAATAGTGGAATTTATCAATGATTATGTACCCGTTTGTGAATGTGGCCTCGTACGTAGATGGCTTTTGAAAATACACGGCAGAAAATATATTATTCCGTTAGAGTTTGGTTTGCTTTGCTTTTCGTGGTGATGACGATGCTTTTCAGAGTTTGTTTTTTTTTTTTTTTTTAACTTTAACAAAATGACTCAAGGGGTAGTTATAGATATTTGGCCTGATTTTAATAGGCGAAGGGAATGAGCTCCAGAGGTCAATAAACCCCTCCAAAATGATGAATGATTGAGTACCTGTGATGATGATAGTGATTACCGGAGCAATTAAACAGTTTGATTAAATGAGCCATCATAACAATGATGTCTGCGGGAAATCAGCCCTCACGTATAAAGAAAGATAGTGTGGAGAGCTGACAAACGCCAGTGGGCATTCCTGCATGTTCCGCTAGCGCCAAGCCCTGCAGAGCAGGGCTGTATTTACAAATATGAAGGGAATACGGAGAAAAGTCCCTCTCCTACTTATAGCCAGAGTTGCATCCTGCTTAAAACCCGCCAGAAGCCGGAGAGCAGACACGGGGTTTTCTTTTTCCTAGAGGATCTCCTCCAAGATTAAAGCTAGTCCTAAGAGCAACCGAATTGCTGTGACTGACTTTCACGGGACTGTAAAGAGAGGTGAGTAGAAGAGCCCTTAGTATGTAGATCTCTTTCAAGCAGTGGTTAAGTCAATTCATTTCACAGGGAAAAAGCCAGTCTTCTTGTGCAGTATTTTATACTCTGTCGTATAAATCGGTAACGTAATTCAAGATATTCATGGTAATGAATGCTTGGCTAATCCTTTGGGTGCGCGGAGACCTACAGAGCAGTAGGTTATGCAAATCCTTTCCTACTTTTACAGCTGTAGTTTTCTAGCAGATTTTTTTTTTTAAGAGATCTAGTCATCGGTGAATGCTATTTGGGTTTTTTTCCCCTTCTTTCTTCCCCCTCCCTTCCCCCCCCCCCCCCTCCCGCCCCGTGCCCCAAAGATGCCAGATTTCTCAACTTGCATGGAATCATTTGCTTGTGATGCAGCCAGCTTAGAAGACGTGGTTCAAATATTTGTAGCTTCCAAGCTTGTTTTTTAACCGTGGCAGTGCAAACCCAGAGCCTTGTCTCTTGAGATACACAAATGTGCCTCTTTTGAAATAGTTTCAGTATCACCAAAGAAGAGGTCTTTCCTTATAAACTGTCTGTGCAAAAGTAATCTGGCTACATTTAAGGCTCCATGCATTTTTTTAGACCTCAGGCTGTAAGAGAAGTTCATCAATTTTCTTCTCAAAAAAAAGTTAAATTACTTGGCTCCCACAGAAGAAATTATTTTATTGCTTAGAATATAATTTTATACCACTTTTTTTTTTTTTGCTAATTCTATTTTTCACAGAAGTCTCTGTAGATCTCAGCTGCCCTGACTAAGAAATTCTGAGAAAACAGACTAAAAGCAAAGCTGAAAAAAAGCAGCCAAAGACTTGTGCAGTGTTCAGTGCTGCTCCTTTCAATTGTTTAATTTTTTTCCCCCTTCTAAACTAATTAACCCCCTGCATTGTCTTGCCCTGCTGTGCATGTTTGTAATCTGGGACAGGGACCAACTTTTAAAAATTATTTTAACTTGATAGAAAGTGAAATTTCATATAGTAAATGAAGATCTTTCATGTTCCTCCTATGTCTTTTTTTTTTTTTGCACGTGAAAAGAGCGAAGCCTTTTTCCTCATCACTATCCCAGTGGATTAAAGCACACAGAGAAGGTGGTTTATAAAGCGCTACAGTTTAGCCATTAAAAAGGGATCTCAATTTAGCGCCCTTAAGTGAATGTACTCATGTATTAACAAAGATGCTGTTGGGAACTCGGAGGAAAATGGGATACGTGCATGCAGAGGGTGAGGGCTTTCACATACTGAGGTGATTTTTTTATTTAAACCCCCCCCCCCCCCCCCCCAGCTAGTGACATTTCTTTTTTTAAAAAAAAAGTAATTCGGGAAAATTAAAATAGCTAATTTCCATTTCTCCTGCATCACTTTCAGAGCGAGGGCTGTTTTCAGGAAAAGTGTGGGATAGATACGAGTCGGGGTGGTGCCTGGGGTTTTTTCTTTTTTTTCTTTTCTTTTTTTTTTTTTTTTTTTTTTTTGATAGATCGGCTCAAAAGTCCAAAGAGAAATGAGGTGTCCGGTATGGAAGTGCATCTCAGTCAACCGCCAGCTCCTTTTGCCGAGGCTGGAAATGGTTTTAACAGGCGGTAAAATTTCATCTTGTGGTGTCAAATTGGGGTCAGTTTGGGGTTAGCGCTCTCAGTGTCCGAGCAGGAGCTGTCCAGCTGTGTGGGGATTCATTAAGGGCAAAAGATCCGTTTCAAGAAAAACAATACAAAGACAATCAGAGGGCTAAAGATCCTCTTCAAATCGCATTTTACAAGTGCACCAGAACAAATATGGATGCTGAAACCTATTCCCTTCAAACTCCCAAATCGGCTTCTTAGCCCTCGGAGGGAGCGAGAGAGAAAATCCTCTAAAAGTTAAGAAGAGTCTGTTTTCAATCAGCCTTCCCGAAGTGTGGCATCTTAGTCCTTTGCTGGCTTTGAGACATGCCTCTCTTGCTTGCTCGTTACATCTCTCCCTCCCTCCCTCTCTCTCTCTCTTTTTCCACAGCCTTGCAAAAGCGGATGGCACAACAGGTAATATTTCAGATTTCAAGAATAAATCCCACCGGAGACCTTAAACCGCTGTTTTGCACGCGCGTGTGCTCCTATCACAAGATTTAATGCAAATAGAAAATTTTTAGGGGGAAACAAGCCATGCTTGCACGAAATCCTATTGTACCCTGTAGGAAATTTTGAGCTCTCCTTGTAGGTGATCCTCCGGTCCGATGGGTAATTTAGGCTAGATTTACTTTCCGGTTCTTAGCACTTGTGGAAAGCACCTATTGCTAATCTGGTTTATT